TTCCTACTTTCCTTTTAGTATTTATTAATTTTTATTTTAATTTTTTTGTATTATTGTAGATTAATTTTTTAATTTATTTTTTTACTTAGTATTGAACATCAAATCTTTACCAGAAACATATTCTTTATTCTTTCATTAAAAAGTGAAGTAATACATGATAAGAATATTTTTTTCGAGATTAAATTTTAAGGACGAAAACAATCACCAGATAAATTTTTTTTTGGTTAAATTATTCAAGAAAAATATAAGAATGAAAGTGTATACGAATTAATAGAGTCATGCATTAGATTTGCATCTTTTAGTCTTCCAAGTTGATAAATTGGGATTTTAAACAAAAGCACCCTTTATTTATAATATGGGATTATAACTATCCTTAATTTTTTTTTAAATTTTTTAATTTCTACTTTAATTCATCATAAAATTAGAAATTAAATTTTTTGTATTTACACAAAATTAAATTTTATATTTTATGGGATATCATCAAGCATATGTCTCAAATTTTATTTGATCATTTTGACTAAATTTAACTTTTATGATAGTCTATAATATACAATTATTATTAAATATATATAGGCCCACTAATATAATTATAGATTATATCCAATAATCTATCAATTGTGTTACATATATTACTCTATAATTGTATTTCATAGTATATTCGTATGAGCTCAAAATCTCATAATATTACTAAAAATATTTCAAATCAATTTGGTCCATTAATTATATCAATATTGGAGGTTTCCATTACATGTATGATAACCAAACCCATCAATGGTAACTAATATTAATCACGACTAATGTTTTATTAAACTCATAGTTTAATAATTTACTTAATCACCGTTACCATTTTAACATCAATATATATAAATAAAAAATAGTAAAATTATTTTATTGACATAAATGTGTAGCGCCCGGACCGAGAAGGAGAAGGAAAAAAAAAAAAAAAAAAGCCACGTCGGCAGCCACGTCAGTAGGCCCGGTCAGCAGTCCCGGCCAACCGGGGCCTGCCACGTGGCAAGACCATGTCGCTCCGAAAAGGGGCCACGTTGGCGATCTGCGTGGGTGCGATCGGATGGCCCAGATCAATCGCGCGATCGAATGGCCCAGATGCAATCGCACGGACGGCCCAGATTCAATCAAAAACGAACGGCCCAGATTAAAACAAAATGAACGGCTGAGATCAAAAGGCAATGGGTTATAAATAGAACCCCCACACCAGACCACAAACCCTAGCCGCCTGCCGCTCGCCGGAGAAGACAAACCAGAAGCCGGCCGCCGCCACCCGCCGCCGCGCCGGGGAAATTTTCGACCGTCGATCGAGGTAAATTTCATACCTCCGACTCGTTTTTCCACGCTGATTCCTCTTGTGGCTAAATCGGAGCCAAAATCTCGGCCAAACGGCCGGAATACAAGGCCGAAGACCAGCGGCACCGCCGCGCCCCCTCTCGGTTTTTGCCTCCGATGAGGCCCTTCCCGGCCTCCGTTTGATGCAATTTTTATATCACCGTGATCACCATTCTTTTCTCTACAGGTTGACCGGAGCCGAATCACCAAAACACGAACCTCACCGGAGAGCCGCCGCACCCGAGAGCGCCGCCGCCGGTAAGCTCCGTTTTTTCGTGATTTTTTGGCCCCCCGAGGGCCCTAGGGTTGTTTTCTCACAGGGACCGATGCGAGTGTGGCCGAATTCGGCCGGAAACGGTCGAAAACAGCCAACCCGAGGCGAGCCGTCGCTGGAGCACGGCGGAGCCGCCGTGCCGGATTTGCGATTTGGGCCGAAAGGGGCCCTGGGCCTAATTTGGGATTTTTTTTGAACACGTGCAGGTACCAGTAGTGCGTTTCAGTTCCCCGAGAAAAATTCAGGGAAAATTAGGGACAGCCTGCAAGCGCACTGCAAAGCCGTGTTCGGACCCCGAAACGAGTAAGGACCCCTCACCCTATTTCCTATCACGGTATTAAAGTTCAAAATGATAAAATGGTATTTCTTGAATTAACGAATGTGTGAAATTGCTTAAGGTTGCTAATGGAGCCCGAGTCTAGTGTGATTGATGATTTACTGTTATTTGGCCTGTTTTACAGCTTTAAATGCAGTATGAGGTTTGATGTGTTTATTTTTTAGTTTCGTGTGCATATATTACGTTTTTATTGGTTATGGGTTGAATGACTGAAAAACTGATACCGTATGTTGTCTGTTTGGCATGAATTACGATTTGCTTGTTTAAAATGTGAATTGATAATGCTTACTGAGGAAGAGAAAAATGAAACATTGTGTAGACTGATAGTTGTATGATGGGGTCAGCCTGACTAGATATCCTGAGAGATGGTGGACGGACCGGGTCCGTAGGGAACCCTACCGGGATTGTGGTCTCACATGCCGGACGGGGTATGGAGATCTTATGGTTTTGGCGCCCATACCGGACGGGGTATGGGGACGGCCCGTTTCACCCTCATACCGGACGAGGTATTGAGGTTTATGGTTTTGGCGCCCATACCGGACGGGGTATGGGGACGGCCCGTTTCACCCTCATACCGGACGGGGTATTGAGGTTTATGGTTTTGGCGCCCATACCGGACGGGGTATGGGGACGGCCCGTTTCACCCTCATACTGGACGGGGTATTGAGGTTTATGGTTTTGGCGCCCATACCGGACGGGGTATGGGGACGGCCCGTTTCACCCTCATACCGGACGGGGTATTGAGGTTTATGGTTTTGGCGCCCATACCGGACGGGGTATGGGGACGGCCCTGGAAACTGATTATGAATGTTAAAGGTTAACGGGTAGCGGGACCCTTATGGACCCCCATGGATACTAGTAGGCTGGTAAATGAGAAAAAGATATGTTGTACAATGATTGAATTACAAAAGGCGTGATAAGTGCTATGTTTTACAACTTATATTATTCCATGATTGTGATAATGTTATTGTTTTCTTATATTGTTTCATGAATTCCACCGAGGTAAGTGGATGGTAAAGGTTTTATCATAAATAAAAGGATTTGTTGTAAATCATGCTCCATTGGTCTTTTGTGTTTTTCTACCCACCTTTACCTCCGTGACGGTGAGATATCGTGATGTTCTTACTGGGCTAGTGTAGCTCACTCCTTATTTAACCATTTCAGATCAGGAAGACATGGTTCCCGAGCCCGTTCCGCAGGAGGACGACGAAGGGGATGCCTAGAGACTCTGTAGTCATACTCATAGTTTTATTTTCGAGTTTCTCTTTTAGTTAGTTTAATCTTTTATATTTTAAGTACGTTTTTGGTTTTCGTGTAAGGGATGTTAACTGAAATTTTGATCTCGCTTCCGCATTTTTATGTGTTTAAATACTCATTTCATTTTAACATTTCCGGGGTCGTTACAAAATGCATATGTTAAATTAATTTTGAAACAATTAAATTTTTGTTTCATGTAATTAGATGCAGTAATATATATAAGAGGATTGAAATAAGAATTTAAATAGTTGCATGTATCATTAATATTTTATATATACATTTATTAAAATAATCTAAAGATAATTCATTTTTTATCCTTTAAAAAAATTGAACTATTCATGATTGGTGGATGTGTGTATATAGGTATATATATATATTAATAAAATATTTGATATGAAATAGTATTTAAATTAGATACTTTATATATATATATATTCATAAAATTCATATTAAATCTTAAATATATTTACATTTATTGGGTCAATTATAAAATAATTAATGTTTTTTTTAGTCAGGAGAGCTATTTTACAGCAACGGGCACATTCACGGAGCAAGAACTGGAACTGGGAGAAGCTGAAATAAGTGTTGTTGGAGTCCGAGTCGACGGACAAAGGGAAGATATGGCTCTGAGTGCGACGGTGATTGGGGCTCTTTTGGGTTTGGGCACCCAGATGTATTCCAATGCCCTTCGCAAACTCCCCTATATGCGCCGTATGTCTTTCCCTTTTATAATTTTTAGTAAAATCATTTTATTGAACCCTAAATCTTTCTGTTTGATTCCTGAGAAAATCGAACAAAAATGAATGTATCTTTGATTTTGGCCTATGATCCTGGGCGTTGTTTTAGATCCGTGGGAACATGTGTTGGGCATGGGATTGGGGGCGGTGTTCGTGAATCAGTTGGTAAAATGGGATGCGAAGCTCCAAGAAGACCTCGACAAGATGCTTGAGAAAGCTAAGGCCGCGAACGAGCGCCGTTACTTTGGTAACTGTTTCCCTTAATCCTAATTTCAGTTTGTTGTTGATTAATTTTTGCTGTCAAAAGTTAGGGCATTAACCCTAATTGCAATTTGGTATTGATGGATACCATATGGGCAAATTCCATTTCCCTTGAAATTGCTACTACTTTGATTTATCCACTAACTTACATCATCATCTTCCTTCTGCTTGATAGCAGAAGATATATTGGGAAGTATGGATTGCCCAATTGGTGGTGAGTGGGTGATGAAGTAATTTGCGCTGAGTTCATTTTGTCCTTATGCTAATGGTTTTCTAACAAGGAAGGGATCCAGTTCATGCCATATGATGCGAATTCCAGAATCCAGTCTGAGATCAACTGAAATTGGCAGAAACGAATTTAAGTTAGAGGGAGTTTGGGATTGCTCATTTGGTGCATGGAAGGAGCTTGAAACACAATGTTCTAATTTTTTGTGCTGTTAATATGATATTAGATATTTAGCATTGCCAAAAATAATCTGTTTAAAACAATTGAGAATTTTTTTAAAGATATTTAAAGCAAAAAAATTCTTGTGTAACAGATAATCAGTTGTCCATTTGGATAGTTGCTAATTGCAATAAGTAAACAGTTATTTTAAAAAATTAATAAAAAATATTTCTAGTTCAAATCTTCTATGGTTTTGTTTGTATATTGTCAATTTTAAATGAATATCTGAAGGATTGTAGTAAATTTGTTTGATAAAAAAATAAAAATTTAAAAAGTTAGGAATGAGGTTCTTATTTTCTATTTTTCTAAAGTTATTTTTATAATAGCTACCATGTATTTTATATTACCAATGGCAGATGATAGAGTAAGTTTCTTAAAGCTGCTTATAAGTAGGAAGTAAGTAATGCCAAACACCCGAATCTATTAACGAAACTTCAATAAAGTAGAAAGTAAAAACTCTTTCTTATTTTTCGGTCTAATCAATTTACTTGATTATGATATCGATATTCTCTTAAAATTGAGAATATAGTAATGTAAGTCCGAAAATATTTATAACAAATATTACATATTGAAATTATCTTTTACAAAAACAGCTGCTTACTTTTTACAATTAGTACTTTATTTAGTTATATAACTGTTTATTTTTTAAATTAAAACTTACTTGCTTTGAGCAACTCAAAACACTTTACTACTGTAAGTACATTTATTTCAGCAATTCCAAATACTCTCTCAATTTCATTTCAAGTGCATTTTGCACCACTACTGACATTTTCTAAGGCATTCAAGTTTCATCTTGGACTCTGGTCTTGATAGAGGTAAACCTGCGGCGGCTGGATGCCCCCAAAATTACCTTTGAGGCTAACTTATAGACTTTCGTCATGTTTTGCTTCTCCAGTCCCCCTGCTCCCCACCCTTTGGTTCATCCATTCTTGAGGGGCTAAGAAGCATTCTATATGAAATTAGTTCTCTTCTTAATGGTGCAAGGAGAAAGGGTCTTAATTTTCTCTGGTTCTGTAATCCATTTGTTTTAATGCCTTTTGTAATATTTTTCCATTGGTTCTCAAGATAAAAGAGCTAGAATGCACATTTTTATTACAGAACCAGAGAAAATTAAGACCCTTTCTTTATTATTCACAAGATTGTTTTATTTTTGTACTTTGCTCGGAGTACAGCAGTCTTGAGCTTCAGCAGAAATGACCTTGTGGCTCCATTGATTAGTTATTTCTTTTCTCCTGCATATGCGCTTGCTAATTAGACTATGTTCATGGTGGGCTTAAACTTGTGCTCTACAATGAGCTACATTATGATGGAAATTTTCATGAGTAACGACCATACTTCATAGCCACTTTAAGGCCTTAAAGAAATAGATTCAAGCAGGTTATGCATCTACACTGCAATTCAACTTCAATCACTTGTCAACTATAGGAGATAACCAGTTAATTTCCACCCTAACTGTTCATATGTGAATATTAGTGTTTGTGCTTCGTGCATTTTTAACTGCACTTCTACTTCAACATGTTAGTAATGAAATAAGATTTGTGTTTCAGATGAAGATGAGTAGATCATGTGTGTCAAAGGACCGTTGGATCTTCACAAAGTCAGTTTTGCTCTCTGTAAAGGCACGCATCACCTCATCTCTTGTGGGTTGTGAACCTTGTTGCTTTCAATACTGTGTTTCTATTTGCAAGGATTTCGGACCTTCTCTAGATCTGCTTTTTAGCTTGCACTGTTAACGTTTATATGCTTTCATAATGTTAACTAAAAAACACAATATCTCAAGTAATAAATGGAGGGAGAGAGTTTCTGCCATTTCTGCAATTTTAATACTTGTAAATTTGGCCCTTGACCTTTCACCATTTTTTGTTTTGGTTTCCGATTTTTATTTCAAAATCAAGGACATGAGTTTTCATTTAGTCTTTCTAATAGTTAAATTTTTTAGTTAAAATTAAGGTATTTTTACATGTAGGTATGACATTACTGTAATTGTCAGCATTGGCTCCGAGTTTCGACCTTGTAGACAATGGCGTGAAGCTCATTGTCTTGCCATTTCTTGGAGGAACATATATAAATACTTTAAAACTGATTTCTTTGGCAGAGGTTTGATTTGTAATGTCATTAAGAACTCAGTTCTTCTAGCCGTCAAATCTCGTGCAGGTTGTCGGTTTTTTTCTCTGTTTTCTTCATTCTGCTTAGGATTGTATGTGCAGTTCAATTTCCCATTGTTGATGGGTCTTGAACCTTAGTGAAATATTCTTCAGAGTAACAGTTGTTTTACTGCTATTTGGAATTTTAGGCATTACAAAATCATTTTAATAAGAAAATATGAATATTGTTTCTGTAGATGCAAGTTTGAGGCAAGTCATGGCTGCTTACGTTCCTTTTTTCTTATATATATTAACATTTAAGGTCATTTTTACTGGTTCATTGGGGAGTGAAGAAAAGCAAGAGCAGAATGTGACATTTGCATGTAAAAATTTTATTAAATTTTAACTAAAAAATTAACAGAATTACTAAATTAAAAAAATATATAAAAACTGTAACACCCAAGTATTATTATTTTTATTTTTTTTAATTATTTAAATTTTTTAGATTTTTAATTAATTTAATTTGATTTAATTTAATTTAATTTAATTTAGTTTAATGAAAATAAAAATAATAATAATGATAAAATTGGGTAAAAATATTATTTAGATTTAATTGAAATTGATTTTGAAAAAAAAAAGGTGAAAATTTGGATTCTAGGGATGTTTTTGAAAAGAAAATCGGAAACTGGGGGTCAAAACGTAATTTAAAAAAATTGTGCCACGTCAGCACCCACCTCAGCAGCCACGTCAGCGCCCCGGTCAGCAGCCTCGACCAACTGGGATCCGCCGCGTGGCAAGGCAACGCTGACCAGGGAACGGGCCACGTGGGCGATCTGCGTGCGCGCGATTGGACGGCTCAGATCCGTTCCCGCGTGCACGGACGGCCCAGATCAAACGTGCACACGGACGGCCCACATTTACGCGCACGGACGGCTCAGATTCAATCAAGCACGGACGGCCCAGATTGCATCGCGATGGACGGCTAAAATTTAATTCTAATTAAATCGCGATCGAACGTTCAAATTTAATCTTGATGGAGGGTTGAGATTAAAAGGCAAATGGTATAAATAACCCCACCCACACCTGACCACAAAAACCCTAGCAGCCTGTGCCCTCGATCGGAGAAAAAAACCAAACGTCTGAAGAGCCCGGGTCCCGCCACCCGCCGCCGCACCCGGGGAAGTTTTT